AAATATAGCATAGCATATTTTTTTCTTGTAAACTTTGTAGTAAACTTGTAGATATATTTTATTGCATGTTGCATATCCAAGTAAATCTGTTTGACCTTTAAATCTGCAGCCCTCCCTACTTCTCTCTGTGCTGTTTAAAAAGATTTATGAACCTATTTACTAATTTAATGACGCCAGAAACAAAATTTCAAGAAATGTACAAGCTCCGCAGTCTGATTCAGTCTGTTCAATAAAACATTTTAACCTGTAAATGTGAGTCATGATCCTCTGAGAAGCTTTTTTTAATTATGTAGTAAAGAAGAACAAACCTTCTTGCATAATATTACTAACTTGTATAAATTTACAATCTGTTGCCATTTTCAGCAGAAAAAGGTCTGTATGTCTGACGAACAGATTTTTGGGTGGCATCTCTACTTTTTTTTTAACAAACCCGCGTTCTGAATTTTACATAAGCATCTATAGAAGTAGGTGCCGGTTAATATTCACTGAGTGCTGCTGTGCGTCTCTCTCCAACCACGTAGCTACTTTGTACACAGTGAAATGCGACCGCAAATCAGATGTCTCAAAGCGACAGATCCGATTATGTTAAACCAAGAGGCGGGACACAGGATCAGCACGAGAGAGGAAAAAAAACACTGACTAAAAACGCTGTAAACACAGTTAGCTGCACCCAACCTCTGTTACTTTTGGCTTAAGTAAATGAACAGAAAGGGGGAAAAAAAGCGGAGATTATTGGTGGGGACCGTTCCCACCAGTCCTTCAGAAAGTTACGCCTGTAAATTAAACCAATACCTTACAAAAAATATGTTTCATATTACAGATTTTTTTTTTTATGTAAAAATGCTCCTGCTTATTCAGTAACATTTCTTAGCATTAATATTTTAGTCATTTACAATGCATTTCAAATACCCAATAGAATTTTCTTTTTTAAAGCTCAAAAAATTTTTTTATTTAGGTATGTTTCTCTTCTTCTCTTTTATTTCCTTTTTTAGATGAATAAAAAAAATGCATACCTTTTTTAGCAATGGCTAAAATGATCAATATCTGCAGACTAAAAAGGAAGCAGAACTGCTCTTCAGGAGACTAAATCATCTCCTGGTTAATAAGAACTAGAATGACATCAAGGCATTAAGCATCATCAGGCAATCATCAGGCATAAAGATGAGTGATCCAAGCATCCTGATCTGTGCTCCATCAAAAACGTCACCAAAGACGAGAGCAGAGGAGAAATGGGTTGATTCCTATCAGGAACTGAAGTTGACGATGGTGACGCTCGTCAGTTTCAATTTCCATGTTTCCAACCAATACAAGGCCTGGTC